CAACAATCGAATGATCGCGTCCTTCGCTTCTGCAGCGGGATTCGCGGAGCGGAAGCCAGTTTCCACACAAGGCTCAAGGATAGAATCTGAATGCGCGCGCATGAGAGCCGCGCTGCGGACAGCATCTAGCTGCTAATTCTGCGCCTCGTCGAGGTGATTGGTAAGGACACCTCTTCCCCCGAACGTCGAGAGTTCGGGGAACGGACACGGCGTCCGCAAGGTTTGAGCAGGGCTCACGTCGTGCCGCTGGGGCACCTTGCCCTTTTTTGTGAAAGAAGTACCCGATCCGTAGTCGACTTCCTCCAAGTCCTTGACGAAGTAATCTATCGCCGCGGTGTGCGGTCGAGAGTAGACCTCATGTCTGTGTTGTTGGTCTCTGTCGTTGACAATGCGCTGCGCGGTACTCGGTTACCGAGAGATTGGGATACGCCTTCCGTGAAGCCGCGGACGTGCTGTCCGAAGCTCCACCGCGTACAGGAAGCGAAGAAGGGCTCTGCCCGCGAGCGTTTTCGGAACCAGCGAGAATGGGCGTCTTCCGTGTCTTCGACACAGGGCTCATTGAGCAGTGAATTTGTGAAGAAGGTCCTGGTGAGGTTGTGGTGTCTTAGACACGCGAGCCTCGTTCGATGCGACAGTTGAATGTGAACTGTGGGGTTCGCAATCTTGATTGGGGAGAATGTAAAGGGGTTTCACTTGCCCTTGTATGACGGGTGTGGGTCACACAAGATGATGTGATGACACAATGGTTTGGGTTACACGAGTCGGTGTGACCACACAATGGTGGCGTGGCTAGAACAGCCAGTAGTTATACATTAAATTAGGTTTAACCATATAGTTAGGAAAACCTATAGATTTAGATATAGGCGACTTTGCCGCAAATACAAAGTGTACGTTTTAAACAGGGAGTTCATTAGCCTTGGGATAAGTTTGTAATTACTCTTGGATTGAGTAAATTGCGATCCGTTACACTCGTACTAATTCTAAGTATAGAACGAAGGACACCGACCTTAATCAAGCTTCCTCAATGCGATAGAGCTACGACAACCTCGCTGCAGTTTGTTAACATAAGTAGGCTGCCTTTGGCGTCGACAAAATTTTGTTTCTGAGATGCTTCGTTGAAGAGCATGTTATGCCGAAACCTTTCAAGAATCAAGACCATCATAGATTGGGTACCACCGTTGTCCGATATGGACTTATAGAAGTGGTTCGGTCTGGCCACCAGCTGGCACAAGAATAGCGCAAATTATGGCGACCGGGCACTTTCTCTTTGAAAACGATGTGAATTTGTGCTGGGCCGCGGTCAAAGTGGCGACCTTTGATCTCATAACGAAATAATCATGCGTGCTCTGAATCTGGCTCATCCGGAACCAGATCGGCCAGTCTTTGTCGTCCAGGACGCTTAAGCCTTCGCAATAGAATATGCTGTAAAACAAGCAGATGCAAACGGGCATTAACGCGTAATCGTATGAATAGCTTGCCAATTTAAAGCAGCAGGAAGTAATACCCTGTTTACTACGAGGAGCTACTATCAATGATGTATGCTTTGTCAAAATCAAAATGCACCTGCTTGGCTCTAAGCCGTTCGTGATCCATCCAGACAGCTCTCACAGATGGTGGCGAGGTTTTTTTTCTTACCGAATCTACCTCATACGTATACAGTATTCGTGTGTACTGCGACAGTGGGTATTCGTAAAACTGCCAAAGGTTATATTGAGCCTTCATTTATTGTCGCGGACATTGATAGCGTGGAACGTACTTTTTGGTACTCCATTCAATCCTTGCAACACGATAGCTGTTCTCCAGGTTGGATGCGGAAGATCTTGATGCGGGCCGAGTCTGTTTAAAAACCATCATGAAGATGGTCAGTGATTCCGCCTCCGTGAGGGTGTCTGACGTCATTGCAGCAAAATGAGCCCTTAACTCTCGAATATATATAGGTCATTAGCATCGCCTCCTCCGACGGGTGGACAAAAACTTGGAGCGCACACGGTTTGCCTGATAAGGCGGCGTGAAACCCCCCGTGATACATGTCGCTTCAAGCTTTCCGTTTTGGAAATACAAAATTCGCACGTGAGTGCTCACTCACGTGCACGGCCTCCTACTTAGAAGACCGCAAGCCTGGTACACTGGTGATCCGTCTGGCGTATGGCCGATTTCATGGCCATTACAATTTTTCTCATCTACCGGGAAAGTTTATACTCATCCCCGTTCTCAAAGTTTTGGCCGCTCAGCATTAGCGGCAACGACCTGGTTTTGAGATATGTTCTCATCTCAGGATGACATAACTTGAACGCCATAAGTCGAAAGTCAAGAAAGTTTGCTCCACGCACTTCGCTTCTGACGGAGCTTTAGCACGTCATAAAAAACCTCTATCAGGTATTAGATTTCCTTGTGGGACGTTAAGTTGATATCTCCTATGCCAAAGCTAGTTGAGCTTAAATGCAAATCTGTGTCGTGGATCTCTGCTACGACAGAAAACTGTAAGTCCCAAGTTAAAGAGCTTGCTTTTGAAGTTATGAAGGATGACTTTTCCTTGTCAAGAGGACGGTATAGTTGAGTCAGCACAACACCGTGACTGGCAAATAGCGCCGAGCAGTTGAGCTCGATGGGTTTTTGCATGAGAGATAATTAACTTGTGAACAAAGTGATCAATAGAGCTCAAGGGGTTCATGGTCTTCCCTCATTACCTACGGTAAAAACTCTTACAGAGCTGAGAGAATTTTCCCTCTAGGATATGTGCAAGAATTTAGAGACAGTGAGGTCGGTAAAATGGTTGTGACCGTACATAGGTGTGGATTACACAAGTTGGTGTAGTCACGTAATGGTGTGGCTACACCGTTTCAAGATGCCACTAAGTGGCAGAACTGCCAGTAGTAATGATTATTAATTAGGTTTTATTATATAAATGAGGAAAACCTAAAGTTTTGAATATTGGCGGCTTTGCCGCAACTAAAACAATTACATTCAACTTCAATTTTAAACGGAAGAGCCTTTTTACCTTGGTTACGATCTTAAGTACTATTGGAGGTAGCGGATTGCGATCCGCTACACTCGTACTGGCCCTTGTAAAGAATGTAATGTCGGTGACCTTAGCTTAGCTTCCTCTAAGCAAAGAGCCACAACAGCCTCGCTGCACGACCAATTTTGATTATCCGATTTGCAAAAAGACAAGAATTAAATTGAGTTCATGGGATACTGACGCGCGTATGATGCTCTTTAACCAGGTAGAACTCGAGATGTACAGTAAGATGACGAGCATGACAAACAAACTGTGCCAGCTTTTATGACCATGAGCAATACAAAATTATTACGGAAGTAAGTAGGAATTATATTAGTTACTCGTGTAAGTGATATAACTTTGAGCCGGACACCTGTCGTATAGCATTCTGTTCGAGATGATTGTTTGTCTTTTTCACGACAGACGCTGCGAAAATGTGTAATTTTGAGGTACCAGGATTGGAACTGCCACCGTTCGCATTAATGAGCCCTTGTAGACAAATGGCGATCTTGTACGTGCGAATGCATCTTGGAATGCTAAATTACTTTCCATATCGCCTTCATAACAGTGTAAAGGTCTGTATGTTTAGCATACACAAACACACACCACGGTTTCAGGTCAAGCTACATTTCTGCCATATTCATCTTCAGATTAATGACAGCGACGCGTATAATGCAATATCTCATGTGCAGCACAAATTGAATTATATATGTTGATAGTATCAGATATGTCACGACTGACAAATTATCTTTACACCAGTGTTTGATACGCTAGTTATCCCCACATTATACATGTAAGAAAATCGATGTGTAATTATATTCTACACGCAAAAGCAACAGCCATAATAAGCACGGCCAGATGGAGTGAACAGTGATCACAATTAATATGCCTACTGCCTTTGCAAAATTCTCGTCTCAAATTGTCTCGTGCTTAACTTGGTTGAGTGTTCGCCTTAAATGTGACGCTAGACTCTCATTAACACCCCTAAGAAATAGAGCAACTCAAAACGTTGTGAAAACAGGTATGAACCTATTAATTTTAATCCATTATGCAGCATAGTTCCACCGCACCAATTTGACGGTGCTGGTGACTTGCTTCTACAATTTCTAATTCATAAAGTAATTTTGGATATGTATATTCTTGCTTGATACGTACCAAAATAGTAATGCGAAATTTTAGTGATAACTATCAGATATGAGAATTTTGAATCTGCAAATAATGAGAACAAAGAATCATCAAAAAGACACTTATTTATCTACTTTACAAAGCTTATTATGCTTAATGAAGAAAGACACCAAATCTGTTACAATACCGGCTCAATTTTAACGAAACACAGTCTTGTATCGCTCACAATCCAGTGATACCACCACACCTCTGCGCTCATTCTATCTTCCTGATATTACAATGTTATCAAGGTAAAAAATTAACAATGCGGGTTAAGCGCGTTATCATAGCGGGCTAAGCTCCAGATACCATTCAGTTGCAACAAAAGAACTGGTACAATACCGCAGAGCCGCATTAACGGCTCGCGCTATTTGTAGCCGCGGCGGCGTACAAACAAATAAAATATGATTGCAGCTATCAATATCAGACAATGTCTGGGTAACATTTGCAGCAGAGCCATCATGTTATGGCCAATGCCGACAACTGTCATGCAGCGTGAAAACATAACATAACTTACATTTCATGTGCGTATATTACGTAAGTATAAATTAGACAAGTGTCCGCTTGCCATGCCAAAAAAGGTAGTCTGAGTGAAGCACCGTGTATGGATTAATGGTTCAAAACATCAACGAGCTTGACTTGCTTCCCAAAAAGGCTCTTAATTAATTCGATCCATGGACCTTGAGGTTGTCAGTTCAGATTCGACCGTCACACACAACGATACTTTACTAATTTACCATGTTGAGACCCTCGTAACTCACCCATGTAAATCTTTAACAATTGTCGATATACACTTGAAGACACCGTGTATGTATGCATATGCTACTAGAGTACTATCTTAGTCATAGAACTCGGCAGCATGACGGGGAACGTCAATTTGCTTAAGCTCTTGTTGGACTTGGCGCTCACCCGACACATCCATCATGAGTTGATCGTCTTCTTCATGATCGCGTGCAGCTGCTTCGTTTTCCTCTTGAATATGTGCCGACTGTGGAGCAACCGTGAAAGGCACACTTGGAACATGCTCGATCTGGCGAAGATTTTCATGGATCTGACGCTTAATCTCATCAAGGTATGCTGGAGTGTTAAGATTTTCCATGTTGCTTACGGGCAAGTGCAAGCGGTATTCTGGTCCGTAATATTCAAAATAATCGTTGTATGGCATCGCATCCGGGATGTCTACACCGACTAGTAGCGAAGCCTCGTAGCACCACGCACGTGCTACATTGCGCAGTGTATATCCTCCACCACCAACAACTAGAGTGGGGATATTGAAACTTTTAACATAAGCAACGCAGTCGGCGTGGCCTTTTGCTGATAGGTTGAAGCTGCCAAGTCTATCACCTGAAAGAGAATCGGTACCACACTGCAGAAGCACAGCACCTGGCGCAAAGTGCTCCATTACTTTACAAATAATACTACGAAATATACCTGTAAAGCTTTCGTCATCCATGCCGTCTCGACAAGGAAAATTTACAGCATAATGTTTGCCGTCTTCATGACCAATATCTTTGATATCGCCTGTGCCGGGAAAAAATTCTCCGTATTTGTGAAACGAGCATGTCATCACACGATTTGTAGTGTAGAAGGCCTCTTCCACAGCATCACCGTGGTGAATGTCAATGTCGATGTACAATACGCGCTGGTGACTCTTGAGTAGCTCTAATATACCAAGCACACAATCATTCACGTAACAAAACCCAGATGCTTCCGACCGCTTGCCATGATGCAGTCCGCCTGAGTAGTTGATGACAATATCGGCCGAGCCCGCATTCAGCTTTGCGGCGCCGCCGATTGAAGCCGATGCGTAAAGCTGACAAAACTCAAAAAGGCCATCAAAGACCGGACAATCTTCACCCACATTAAAGCGTTGAAGCTGACGCAAATACTCATGCATATTGTCGGGCGTTACGAGTCGCAAGAAGTGAATATAGTCATCCGAGTGAAAGCGGGTGAGCTCAGTCCAGTCTACAAGACGAGGACGCTGGCAAAATGCAGAAAGAGTTAATGAGAATGCACTTGTACATAACACTCATGAGTTTGTGCTTGCCGAACTGCTCGCACAGGTACTGACGTACGAAGACTTCCATGTGCTTGGTAAGGCCGTAATTGGTGATTAGATTATGGGCCATTCGCACGCGATGCGGCTGCCATTACAAGATTTTTTATTTCAAACATGAGAAATTAATCGGCTTAGAGCTACTTGCGAGATGCATCACCTTCATGGGGTGGTTCTGGCCGTAGTGGTAGTTTCCGATCTCAGCTGTAACAAAACCGCAACGTAATTTGGTAAGATGGGACATAAATTAACTTTCATTGCAAAGAAAGATTGATCTTCACCATCGTAAAAGTATGCAACGCGACGTTTTGATGCGATTGTGCCGCCGCTGGTAAGTGCCACAGAGCTCCCAATTCCGCTGTTCATTTTTCCTGGTTGTAGGAGGGGGTTGATAATAGTGGTGTGGTGCACGCTAAAGCTGACATTTTTTCGCGCATATATCACTCGCTATTTTGGTACTTCAGCTTTGGTAATCTTTTAAGAAAAAAATGAATTGTAAAATGTACCCCACACTGTATTAGTATGATTAGAATGTCTTTTATGTAGGCTTAAATCTGTCAGTTCACAAATTAGCTTATAAACGCTAACGCTATTTTGCACGTGTCTAAGTTCTACAACAGAGTTGCAGTGCAAACCACAAATAGAAGGCTTTGACTCTAAACCTTCCACACTAACAAATTCACAAAGAAAGTATTTGTGCGCTTCTTCTAGTAGCGGAACTGAGAGTCTCAAAGCCTTGCACCGTTAGCCCCCTCTGCTATCTCAAGAGTACACTTGTTAACAATTACGTCTATTGAGATAAACATTTAGGCACTTTATTCTGATATAATTTTCTGTTTTTTCTCGTTAGTAAAACTGCCGTTCTTTTCTTTCGTGCGCTAGCAGCTCTTGTGCACCGTGCCCCCCCTTTCTTATGTTAGGCACTTATGAATGCTTTTGATTACACCAACTATGTGTGAACATCGTACGATTGTAACAGTTTGCAACTAATTAAATGGTACCAAAAATGTTCACGGGTTCAAGACACAAGATTCCACTATACATCCCCCCACTAAGATATACATCAGAGCAGAGTTCACAATTATTTTGTCTTTTCGAGACACTGTGCAAAATTAACTACTCCACCGACAACCAATGCGCCTGAAATTCTAATTCACTCTCTAAATTTTACTGTGTCTGTTTATTTTAGCGTATTAGCAGTCGAAGTTTTGCTTCTATGAACCAAATCAAATCTTACAACAAGCCCCAGCCATAAGCGCAGTCTTTGCGACCGACAAGCTTTAAGAAATTCGGTGAGCATGCCAAAAACTTATTCGATGATAATGGCTCTAGTACTCTCCGAGTTCCGGCTAAACACCTACGCCCTCATACAACGATCATGGCATAGCTATCCCCCAAGGAGGAGGAGCTTGCTGGGCTCAGCATCACCGCTGCACAAGTTTCAGACTCGCGTTCTTTCCACCGGCAAAAAATGTTTTGACATCGAGTAGTATAACCACATGACCCCCATCTCATTACTATAATTGAACCTTGCTCAGGTATCCCAGCTAGCCACGCCGACTTCTTTCAGATCACATCGAGATTACGGTATTAGGCCGTCCGATTTACGTGATTGTTGAGATTAAATCCCATCACATTCAATTTCTGCAGCTAACAACCCTACGAACAGCTATAATGGCTACCAACTTAGGGGCGTGCCACCGTTAGGTCGGTCGCCTACCACTAATGGGGATCGAACGGCGACGGACGCCCTGCCTACAACGGAGTTGATGATCGATGGCGCGCCATATCGTGAACGCCAGGCTAGAGGGATATTTTGCCGAGGTGGAACCACAAACTTGTACGAGCATTTTGACTAAGATATACCCCTTCTACTTCACCAGGAATTGGAAACAGCTGTGGCGTACCCACCGAGCTGCTAAACTTTCCACGTGAAAGTGATTTGCCTCTTGCTTATCGAGCAGTGCTGGTGGAGGTCATCCCTCCCGTGATCGATTCTGGTGAGTTACGGCACTTCATCTCTCATTGAAAGTCACAGCCTGCGTCCGAGGCTGCGATTACCCAGGTATCGGGTTGACTCTTTGCGCCACATCAAGGAAATACCTGGTTATATACATGTTCTATAGTTCAAAGCCGCGTCGCAGCTTTGGGGTGTAGGGAGTGATAGAGACGTTATTGATTCTGCAATAGATCTCCTCAATTCTGACTGGCTCGCAAGAGCAGGATCGTGGTATGGCTTCAATGAGCCCATATAGTACACCAAGTGCGATTGCATTCACTTTAGGATAACCAGGGTGTCCCTTTTTCGTTATGACTGTGAACAGTCCAAATTAACACGGTTGCATATTGGCCAGTTAGGCCGTAGACACTGTATGTGTATCTGATAAAAGTACTCTATTAGACCAATTTATTCGTGTGTGTCCCGCCTGCCTCTGGTTTTGTTGGTGTGGGCTATCAGCCATAGCGTCGCGCACCATGCAAATGACGCTCAGAAATTTCGCTGAATTTGTAAAGAAATATAGCCAGGATGATATAATCAAGTCAATTTTCATCGGCACCTCTTCCCCACTACGACTGGATTCACTTCGTGGCAGTGTCAAAGCCATTCACGTGAAATGAGTCGAAACCCGCAGAGAAAGGTACCGCATTATTTAGTGCAAACTCAATGAGTTGTTTTAGCCCCATGATCTATCCACGCAAGTGCTTTGGAATACATTCTCTACAACACAATTCACGCATTTCTGTACGACCATCTGCTTTTGGATGGTCGGTGGTTGACATATCCAGTATGTCTCGAACAGCATTTGCCATTATTTCGCGTGCGGATTCTATCGATACGATGACAACTGGCTATTGCATGGCGTCGGACCACTTTGGCGACGAACAGCTTGATTGTATTGCGCCAGTTGCCGTATCGCTGACAGCAGCAAGATAAATCATTGTGCTCCCACAAGAACTAAGAACCGGAGCTACTGACGCGTCTTTTGGAAGTCCGAACGCAATGTCTATCCTTTCGCAGCTACCCTCTTGTCGGTATCGACAGGCTTATTAATAATGCCACCACAAGGGCCAGAAACTTAGTTCGTTCATACGCTTTACACGTTGAGGTTTCCAGCATCGATATATGGGTATTCGTGCTCACCCAAATTTAGATGCTGAAAACCCAATGATATTAAACGCTTTATATATGTCCGAAGTGGCCACTCAAAGGGATAACCTGTGCCAGTATTCTGTACGTAAGGTCCTTATTGCAATGCACCACTACAAGCTGATTGTCGTGTGGGTCAGTGCTATAATTCGTTAAAAGGGCATTTGTTGGGGTATAACCAACCAGAATAGCTCGAGCTATATTCGTGCAAGTTGTTGGTCACGCCAGGCCAAACCACCCATCAAGTTGTTCGAAAAAGGAGGCGCTTGTCAGTCCAATAAAGTGTTAACTATGAGCTTTGACCGCAGGCAATACTTCCAGTAAAAAAACAGAAATGGAATTTTGTCGGCTTCATGTCTGTATTGACGAATAGCAAATCTTAGCGCATACACTCGAGAACTGCTCCCAAGTGTTCATCGTGTGCTTTCTATATCTAACTTCCCGTGCACTGCACGACTACGTCAAAATTGGTCTGAGCATGACCTAAACAGATGTATCACTAGACAGTTGATCCTGGGTGGTAAAACAGTTGCTAATACGGCATTCTACTCAGACTTTTACCGCAATTAGAGGAATATAACTTTATCACATCAGCGATTCATGATAACCATCAACTAGATCGGGGACACAAAACAAAGTGCGATCGAGAATTTTTGTTCTGTAGCAAATTCTTTATTGAAATCGACTTTTAGCCAGAATCGTGGTTGCATTGAGAAAATTATAAGCATTCATAGATTTTCATGTCCGTGAATTGTTTTGTTGCATTTACTTTGCAATTGCGAAAGCGGCAATGAGGTCACACTGTTCCCTGATAAGGGGCCATAGCCGTGCGACGAATATATACGGTTCCGGTGACCGAATTGTTACATGACACGCTCCTCTATACAAAGATTACACGCGTAGTGGGCATCCCGTCACAACCTCGCGATACTTTCTCTAGAAATGGTTGAGATTATCCGTAGGTTTCGTAAAGATAGCTGTCTCTCTCCTTTGCACTTCATGCCGTGCGAGTAACCTCAGTGACATATCAAATCGTAATAGGTGACGTATTCAGCCACTTCTTCCATTTCAGCAGTAACATTTTGAAGACCTCGCTGTTTTTGCAATTCCTGATTTAGGGGTACTTCCCCGTTGTGTGGAAGCCTTTAGTGAGGGGAAACTTACAACCCCTTGGACTACCTTGGTCACTACATTCTTGAGTATATAATCGTATTTCGGCCCCTTTTTAAAGGAGATTTGCTGCCCCACACGGCGGGTCCGTCACGCGGTGATGCTAATTTGAATATGTGTTACTCCTCCTCAGAAATTGTACCCTCTACTCTAGATCTGCATTCGCCCTTCAACTTCACTAACTCTAGCACGGGAGGAGCGACAATGTGGCTTTTCCACTCCCTAACGGCCATAGCCTAGTAAACAGCAGCTCAAATAAATTATTTACCGTTTTGCCAGTGATACACTCTGGGGGCCACAACATAAAGTCGTACTTTTCTGTCTCGACCAAGGGGCACTCTGAAGACCTCGGCTTACTGCCGGCTCTGTTCTCCAATATTTGCTCAATGCACCAAGTAACACCTATACTAATAAATTGGGATGATCCCATGATATGTACAAAAGCAATTGCAGCTTCGTGCTCGCGCCAAATCTACTTCTAATTTCCGGAAGAGGTGGGCGTAGGAGCCTCCCTTGCTCCATTAGGAAAGAATTGCGTGGCACCTAACATTTTTGCTTTGGATTCAATACGTGGCTCATGACGCTCCAGCTGTGCCATGCCTTGAACGAGAACATATCTAATAGCTATGTCTAGGACTAGACATCGCTATATGCAAAAAATTCGTAAACTTTACTTGAAAGCTCAATATATCCTATAACTCTTTAATTGTTGTCCTCGTCGTGGATATCATATCAGTATAATGCCTCCGCGTACTGTCTACCGTTTTTTACAGTCTCGCGACGTACATGATCGCACGTCGCTCCAGAATCTATCAGTACTTCTTCACAGCTTCACAAAGCTGGGGGCGTTAACGTCAACAACATACAACTTTGGACAGTGAACCATCTCTTCAAAAGTCAGTGCTCCTAGATCCGAGATTAATTTACCATAATCGCTCTGAGATACGATAGTGCCCACTTATTGTCAGTAGGCTGATCTTTGTCAAGTGAGGCCCGACAATTTCCAGTGAGGAATCTGACGTGTGTACTTGCGTGAAAGTCCAACCCTGCCTACCGCTCAGCAGAGATCGAAAGGGGCACGAAAAGCGCACGTATCTTGTATTTTCCGCAGATGACACGTTTGTGGGTACCAAAGAGCTGCTCAGCGGCTGAGCGGTATCTCAGCTTCCTCAGTACGCCTTAGACCCATCACCTTTGACGCGCTCGTAGAGCTTACATTCCCGGCAATGGATTTGCCCGCATGAAACGAACATTATGTTTTGTATTGGATGCAACGTCCACCGTTTTTAATGAAGTCGGGTGGACACGGGAAAGCTCGGTGCGGTCTGCACTCGTTCGGCGACAATTCATGAAGATGGTAACCGTTACTACCTCCGGGTGGGTGAGACGCAAATAAGGTGATTAGAATCGATCACTTCTCAATGCCGTTTGCCAGATCTCGTCTCCATTGACGTGTTGACAAGAGCTTTGGACGAACCAGATTCGCCTGTTAAGCGGTGCGAGCACCCGCCACACCTATTGCTTCAAAACATCCGACATCGGAAAAGCATCTTATACGAAGGTATTGTACGTAAGGCTTCATTCTCGCACGCGACTTTTTAGATTAGACAGCGCGATCCTACCACGCTGTAGCTACGTATACAGCAAGACCGAATCCATTGTAATAACAATAATCCTCATTCAGAGAATGGGATGTTTCCCATTTGGGTCCTCCAGGGTCCGGACGCTCAACATCGACGGTCACATAGTGAGAACAATTTACTCCTTCACCGGCTTCAGTTAAATGTTCCTAGACGTCCCCCACCACAGCATTCTTTGCACTGGACAGCGCTCCTAGGCAAATAAGTACTAATTGCGGCCCTTTAATTGCCGATTCACTGATTTGATTGGGATCCAGGATAGAAAGAGGCATATACTGAAATATCTGATCCAAGGCAGGTGTTGAGCATTTCGCAATCCATTCTCGTAGATGATGCAGTAATTCCGCGACTAGCGGATGAGTTGGGTTTAAGTACACGAGATGCAACAACGTGCTATTTGCACAAAGGAAGCTTTGATTTTCAAAAGTCGCGCTGATAAACGCGCAAAGGGTGAGCTTGTGTAGTTTTGGATAGAAAGGAACCAAAGCCATCCAAATACATGATTAATTCGCATTTCTTCTTCAGGAGTATATGTATTGAGAAGTACTTCTTTTCAGACTAATACTAATCAAACGCTTTGGTATATTATATATTGAAAGCGCAACTTTACTGGCATGCGGTTAGCAGCCCAAATGAACTTCGAATTCCTCCTTTTCTAAAAATACGTGATCTCCAAAATACCGATGTTCCGCTACGCTTAGTGTGATTACATTTGTAAAATTATACCGTATTGCAATCTACCGGATATGTCAGGGTATACGGGATTACAGTGCTTGATTCGTTACACGTGCTGTTCTCATGATTGACTTACGCTATCGTGATATGCTCTGATTTTGTCTAAACTTATTTGAAAATGTTGTCAACAGTGAAAGTCTTGCACGTCACAATTTCTGGCTGTACGAGCTTAACAAACCGTTACATTGAGTCAACGCAAAGAATGAAAGCCGTGCGCATTGATGTTCATTCGAAGCCACAAATACATGTACTCGACAGCCTTGATTACAAATACTTTTAGTGACTGGGATAACGACGAGATGAATACATACCAAACAGAATACTTTGAAGACGGGTAGCAAATTTATCGTAAATTCCTTTATTTCGTGTTAGAGCTCGGTTCTGTCTCATTGTTGCGATGTCACGTAACTACAAGGTAAATGTGACTTTTAAATTTGGATATACACATTACACTTTTATGCATTTGCGCGAGAGATGCACAATGCTAGAAAGTACTGTTTCTTATGTGGACGATCAAACTTCGGAAAGAAGATGTATGCGAGACATGTAGGCTTTTAGCCTTGATTCATGTCTAAAAATAATGATATTTTTCAAACTACAAAAACACTTAATCATTGAGCATTAAGCTTTCTTTGTCTACCATGCACGGTGATCTCGACGCACCTTAAAGCATTGTCGTCATTTCGACACCCGAGTATTTAAGATTAAATTCCGCTTGATACGAGACAGAATTTGTCTGAATACCTCACTCTCGGACAGCCAGATACACCTTCAAAGTTTAGGTCTGTCTGAGGAATCCGAAAATTGTCGCCCGAGGGTCAAAAGCGGTATTCGCTTATATGAAGAGTTTTTTGGCCTGACAATATACTCCTCCACACCCACCCTGATCAAGCGTCGGTAGAAGCACGGCCTGATCCTGCTACAATACCGCTAATGTTTAGCGTTCCGTTCATTGCGGGTAGGATCGGAAATAATCGCTCCCTTTAAATGATAGAATCTGAGATGGCTAGAAGCTCTGTCGAAATCCAGATGAGGCTTCGCGCTCTTGGGATCCAAGCATGAATCTGTGCACATAAACTGGAACTTACGTGCAGCACCTTGGCAAACTAGGTATTTTCAACATAAATGAGCTGAAGCTACATATGTCGCAGGTGTCCGCACTACCTAATCAAGCGTGCCGAGTTTGCTTCAAATCTATGTTGATCCGCCAAAGGAAGCAGAGTTTATTTAAATATGCTGAGAAGCTGTGAAGTATATTTGGCGCGATGGCGACAGACTCACGATGACAGTTACCGTCTTCATGGAAGATATTCAATAGGTTGAGACCTTCCGCTCCACCGTATCTTCTTCGATGAAACATAAATATTGCATAGAATGCAGAGTACAACTTACATACTGAGTGGCAGTTTGGGCTGCCGGTTGCAAAAGCGCTAGGAGCGCGCCAGAGGCGATATATCTCAGCCACGTTGAGGAGGCAGTGAGACCTCTCAGTGACGAAGCAGCACCAATTACTCGCATATTTTATTCTGTGATGTTATTTACTATTTCCGTCCTGTGTGCACCATCTCCCTTGATTAGGAGGTATGAAGGGTTGGGATATCGTCCAATAAGTACCCCAATAGAAAACATATCACAGTACGATAAGGGTGGCCTATTCAGGCAGGACTGTTTTTTTCGTACTCATGGCTTTCGAGAAAAGCGAGACCGAGCCTTGAAAAGAGCGCCTGTCGGAGGCTCTGATCTCGGGATTCTTGATTGTAAGCATCAGCGGCTTTGGCTTTGCGATGCCGTGAAAAGTCCCGATAGCATCAGGAGCGTCGAATAATTACGTACGATACACGATAGCGAGAACGGTAGAAGGTAAACGGAGTCGTTCAAGATGCTGAATACGATAAAAGTTTATTGACTCTTAAGAAGAGTATTTGTCAAAGATTCTAATGAGGTTTATTGTGAAGTTTGCGGGTTTCGACAGCGCGGAACGTTGTCTCATTCCGAAACTGCCATTTTGAAACGGTTTTTTTGACGTGGCTCGAACACCAGAAGCCTAGACTGAACGACAGCCTTGATATCGCGCTTTTGTACCTTAGTGGAGATTTGATAAGATTGAAGTCAACTCTGTTAGGAAGCAAAATCACTTATGGCGCGGGCACGAAGCTGCAATAGCTTTGGTGCAGGACATGGAATTGCCAAAGGTCATGAACATTAATCATGCCGGGTGTGTCGATTAGAACTTGAAAGGCCAGCCAGACCGGCGGTGAGCCGTGGTCTCGAGATGCGACCGAAAGTTACACGTATTTTACGATTTCCAGTTTGCATCTCTTTAAATACGGGAATGAGAGTCGTATTTCGTGGCACAGATTCTGGATTAGTGGTCAAAGTCGAAAGCCAGTATCTTCTGTGTCAGACCCGGTGGATACGGGCGACGTATGCAGCGAGTAGAAGGACCGGTCCCAAAAGATACCATTTCATTCTTGCCACGATATAAACGCACCGCTATATCAGCACTGCCTTGCGACACGCCTACAGTGAAGATCCGAGTTTTTTTTTGGCGAGAAAAATTTCTCGTGAATGAAGTGGCCGGGGTGGTCTAAATCTAACGTTCATTGCATCGGGCGGATGCTTCCACCGAGCCTGATAAGATTTTCTTTAAATTACTCGCAAATTGTTGCACTACGATGAAGTCACCGATATGCCGTAACTGGTACCGGAGAGGGAGTAGAGTTTGTCATTCATCATAAATGATTTCGTACTTGTAAATATCTGGGTGCAAAGCGTAGGATAGATATCTTCAAGAATTCTACAAAGCTGTCACTCGCCGTCCAGAATAAACCCTCCTGAACGATTATAGAGGTGCCTTGATGTTGACCTTGATTGCTTCGCGAAACCAAAGATTGTGCCATATGGCAAATACCTTTAATAAGAGATATTGTGACGTCATAAACTCTCACTTCCGTGCAAATTACGATGCGGGTTCGGCGATAATACACCTCTCAGTCGCCACTGACTAACAGTGTCGAAAAGGAAAACGGCAAGTGATAAATTTAAATGCAACCACACTTCCACCGCAAACGCCAATTTCCGAAAACGGAGAGATGCATAACAGCATGTTCGGTTGATCTTAGTCTGATGCGATTGATCTCGAGGATAATTATTAATAGATCATGATAGATAGTAGGGTTCTCCCTACTGCGGTGATACCGGACGCCCTTGGCTTGGCTCGTTATGTCTCAGGGAATTGCTTGGTGCACCGACTACATTCAAATTCCAGAAGATGCAGCTGTTTGGACACATCGTGCCGATGCACATGCGTCTTACAGCAACATCTAAATTATTAATCTTGCTGAACACGGGAAATGGGACATAGAACACCGACATCATACACTTGTGAGCAGTGCTATAATGTAAAAGCTTCAGTCAAATTCTCAATTGTATAGACAAGTGTGCCCTGGCTTCATCCCCTTCTAGAATGCCTCATTGAACAGCAATGCCCACGTATCATACCCTTCAAAAATCAAGGCTATCACAGAGTGGCCAGTACATCTGCTCGAACATATTTGAGGAAGTACCTTGGCCTGACCACTGTCAGCAAAGCACAGGCGCTAAAGCGCGGAAGAAGAAGCATCCCTAACACGGTGAAACAAAAAGCAATGTGTACCTCATTTTTGACCCGTCCGAATCCAAATCAGCTTAAATGCATGGAGAAACATTACTACCACGCAGAAAAAGTAGCCCCTTTAAATTAATCATACTTCAGTCAGACATGTTTGGCTGTAAGCTATTTGTGATCTGACCAGCTCATGTGTTGTTGCGCACAGCGACGACAAAATGATTATTTTTGGCACTAGCTTTTCAGTTAACCGCACTTAACAATTCTATCCAAAACCAACGGTTGGGTTAAATAACTGTTTTGACGTAAGTCTTTGTTGATATCACCTCTAAGTTAAGTTATGAGTTTATGTAGCGGCAGATGCGCTTTCACGTCACCCCGTCTATAATTTATCGCATGTCACTACAATCAATTTGCTTTTTGACGGGGTCATACCAGCGTACAGGTCAGTCGAAGCAGGTGCTGTGTCGCCGAAGCATTCAGAAGCGAGAATTTTAAGCAGTCTAATGTCTTTTTTAAAGCATTCGGTCGCACGCACCGCCATTATTGAAAATCTAGATGTTTTCTGTATTACATCATTGGCCCATTTAAACTTCAAAATGTGGTGGTCTTTCATTAAAAAATTATAAATAAAATAATGTGCGAGATACTTGGTGTTTCTTCAGGCGGCCGTCTCGTTAAAGAAATGCCCTATTGGTGAGCGAGCCCAATGAACTGATGACCTAATAGGTATAAGTGGGTATCCATCTGTATGCACTGTGCGAAGCACGTAAACGGGTCAAGACCTTACCGCATGGGTCGACGCTTCTAGCTACCCATTCGGTCTCCTCTGGCAGAGTGATGGCAGTCCATGATTAGAGGCGTATTTTCCTCCAGTGTTTATAAAAAGTGCGTTTGGTGGTATCAGCATTACGGTCTTCACGGATCGTCTGTACAAAATAGTTCACCTTGTAGCTTTGGTTACACCGTTAGCGACGATGATACAGCCAAGCTCTTACTTAACAGGTTTTTTTGTCAATATGCCTCTCAGACAGCCAATCAGTCATATTCAGATTCGCGCATTACATCAAAACTTTGAATACTTTTCCAGGGATCTTGACATTAGATTGGGCGTGTCCACCATTGACTAACCGCAGGCAGAAATGTTCATACAGATCGCGCTGATCACGTAGCAAATATTTTGTGTTTGTGCGGAGAGAAATGGTGCAGTTGTGTATTCTTCAGCCTCAATTGGTTTGTTTAACCCTTCTGTTTGTTTGACCTTGTTACGAAGGACACATCTGTAAGTGAAGGAAGGGCAATTAGTTTAATTTGATTTGACTTGCTTAAATAAGCCCACATTGAAGGAAAAGTGCAGATCGCTATCTCAATCAGATTAACGTCATGTGCGGAGTGCGCGAACATCTTTGCTGGAATCCATGATGTGCAAGGCATGCCAGTGTCTAACAAGCGAAATAAAGATGAATATTCTTACTTCTATGATTTATTCAGCGCTGGTAACCTCCCTGAAAATGCAGAATGTCAATCTATGAGACTTACTTTAATTATGGTACATCGGACTGTTTGTGATCGTAGCAAAAATGAGCTGAGCTGGACGGTAAACTTTGTGAAGAGAATGCGGATACATTCTGATATGCGGGCCTGCCGGCGCCGTATCACAATCCCGGTCGTACTAACCAATCGGGTATAAATCGCCTTATTTCGGCCAAAACAGCGTCCAAATCACTAAAAGGGTATCTCAATTTTCCCAGTGTGATGATATAGCTTGCAGAGCGCATTCAAAGACTTACTCAACTCACAGACTACATGACAAAACTCTCGAAGAAAGTCAGCATATCTACATCACTAACGGAGCTCTGAAGAGTCAGCGGCAAAAGAATCACCCCTCCAAGACACTACCCGATGAGCAAAGACCAACTAATTTTTACGCGGAGCAGTTAGTCGACCGACAAATTTGCCTAGATATACACAGGTATATAAACACGTTTAAATCAGAAAAATCTTACCTGGTGCATATTTGACGTGTGTTTTGCCTTCCTGTCTTTTATCCGTGTTGGTTTTGCACATCCTAGCTCTCTGATAAAATTAATCTATCTTGAAAAACGTTTTTTGTACGGTGTGAAAACCGAGCACATTAGCATGTCGGAGGGAATTGACTGTCCATCGCCATCACGACTAGAGTTACCTTTGGTGGTGTAAAAAACTTTCTACCGAAAATTTATGCGAGTTTGAGATCCTACTTTAGCGAGACTACACATTAACCGTTGACGATTACAATTTGGCGTACCTGCAAATTTTCTATGACCAAGAGAGAGGTTATGGTCGCTTATATCAAGACGCACCCTACTAGTGAGTGGGACCCCAACTTGCATCAGAGAGCTATGATAACAACCTCACGAATATAAGCAGTGCTGTTTTCAACAAGAACTGAAGTGATAAAGCTCCGTCACGACGTATACATCATACATTGTACTTCGCAAACTCGACGAATGAAGTATGTTCTTGTGAAACGTCTGCGTCACTGATGCTAGCTTGTTAAACTTTTAGACCGATGGGGCTACATGTCCTGTATATACCTATGCGTAAATTATGTGCAACACACTTTAGCACTTTCGCCAGCAATCATTAGTCAGAACACAGTCATCGTGGTGGGCGCGGATTTTGCAGCCGCTATAGCGCCGTCGTCTGTACTCTTGAGGAGCAGTGACCTGTGGAGTCACAAAGCGCTTAGACGCGGCTTTTGATCGCTCGTTGCTGCTTGATTTGAGCAATTGATCCATCGCGCAGAAAATTGGACTGAATCCATAATCACGACCAGATCAAGTCTGCAAATGTCGTTGCAAGTCTTGCGCTTGAAGACGGCCGAGCTGGGCTCCTTGAGACAATGGACAACGGGGTCAGCTCTGTGGAAAGGTATCGCAACACTTAACGCCGTCGAAAATGGGCATGGGTGCAAAATTCGTGCTGAGGATAAGCGGGGAAAGAAGAACGCTTCTATCATAATGAAGTGATTTTGGTATGTTTCTCAATAAGGGCGGAGATGTCGGTCTAAGACTCGAAGAGTTTTTACAACTGCACCTCATAGATCGTCGAGTGGGCCTGAGCCAATGGATCTCAGCTACGCTGAGAAAGAGGGGGCTGAGCTCCGAGCTGCCGAGCTGCCTAGCAGCGTTCGAGCACCGGACGGTGTTTTGTCCGTGGAGAGACTCGTCACCTTCGGACTGGCTGCTCGTGCACAAGGCGCGTCAAGGTTCATCAAACCTACATTCCGCTTCTCACCAGTCTGGTTTGTCGCGGGGAAACGACAACATCCAATAGGCGCAGGGCAGCCTACTGGGGAATTACTGAGTTATGTTGTGCCTCAAAGGGGTAAAGGGCAGCAGAGGCCAGCCCGAAGAACTCCGTGCTCTTGAACACAAATCGAGTATGCAAGACGGACTTTCTTTTCGTAAAAGTGACTGTGAAGGGCTTTGAGAAGCCGTGGAAGATTAATACCGGCTTAAGGGTGTCGGGCAATTATACTCGACGCTTAATGATAGACGGATGCCAGCTGTATGCTGAGGCGCTGAAAGCGGTTCAGTGACGCTGTCACGGTTCGCTAAGCGACGAAGAGTTCTGTCACGGTGCCGACGGTCCCTGTGGAACTTGGCGTCAAGTTTCTTGACTTCGATAGCGTGAAATGCTGCTTAGTCGTAGACTTGGATTCAAGGTATGACATTAACTTTTGTATGGCATGGTTGGAACACCATAAGCTATGGATCGATTGGAGATCGAAGACCTTGGGCGCTACGCGTACGTCGTGAAACGCCTCTTACGTATAGAAGATATAAACCTGGTTCTGGTGGAGCTTTGTTGAGTCATGAGCCCACCTCTGCTAGGAAGCAAAAGCGCTATTGGCGCGGGTACTGGACCGGAAGGGCCAACGAGCTGGATGTCAGAGTACTCGAGCTGTCAAACACCGAAGGTGTACTGGACAGGAGTTTTGAGCATGGTTCGTGGGCTGAACGTAGAGGCATGTAATTCACTGAACTCTGCTTAAGTAGTAAAGCAGTTGCTGCATGTCAAGAGTGGCATGGTCGGTTAAGGGCCGAGGTGTCGAGGGCGAGGCCCTAGTGATTCACGTGACGTGGCACGTAACCCACTGAGCACTGATCATGCTACGAAGCAGTTGCTGCATGCCAAGAGTGGTCGAATAAGGTCAAGCATCTTGGGCAAAACCATTTTGATGTGCATGGAGTGGTACATTATCCACTAGACGAAGATTGTAGAACTAGCAGCACTTCGTCAGATGTTGTTAATAACATCAAGGCTCCGATGGGGCAGGGAGTGGGGACGCTGAACGACGCTGAGTGCGTGTTCCTACTGGCCTCGACGAGACGTAAAACCTTTGTAGAGAGGTCGTATGTTATCTGCAAGACGCAGGGCGTCAACCCTGACCCAGGATATATCTACCGTAGACTATAGCGCACAGCTATACACCCTCGTCAACGATATGACGGGGGAGGAAGACGGCGACGTCGCCCTCGAGGCTATTCATGCGGTGGATGCTCTTTTTGAGCTGGACAAGATGTCCTTCAACGTTCGGTGGGCTTTATAGGCAAACATCTTAGCCGATGTGGTCATTATACGACCACAAGAGGAGATTAACTCGTCGTCGCTTTTGGATGAAGCTGTCCTGGACGACACCAAGACGGTGCTAAACGCACAAGTAGATCTCTGATTCTAAAGAATCCCACGGAGTCGTGATATCCTTTGGTGAAAAATTTCTGAGACGTCGTCTTCTAGGACCCGACGTCGGTCCTACCTTCGGTCTGAGGTGTGCGTCATAAGATCAATCTGGTTCCGGGAACCAAATACTGCGTCACACGCCTGTGGTCACTGCCCAAAAAGCATTGTGACGTCAATGCCGCCTTTTTCTGTGCGAAGCACGAAAAAAAACGCAGAAACTCTACGCGAGAGCAAGTCTCCCTAATCGACACCCACGTTTTGTGTCCGGAAGCCGAATGGCAAATGGCGTATAGATCATCCTTACAATAATCTAAACCCTGCCAAGACGCCGATTTCTCAGTAGGATGTTATCCAGAACAATATGGCTGGCTGTACAAAGTACAGTGCACTCTACTAGGTCGGATAGGTACTACCAATTGCTCATGAGAGCGAGTGATATTCCACTGACAGCGGTGAATACTCCGAGCGGGATGCTCTGAGAGTGGCTAATCATGCCACAAGGGCTTTCAAATGCACCAGCAACATTTAATCGTCTTGTGACACAGTTGTTCAGGCCCCACCGGGCGTATGCACAGACATACTTCGATAACATCTTCGTCCACAGTCGTGCAGAGCACATGAGAAAAACCGCATATCCATCTGAGAGCGGTGCTCGAGAGCATGCGCACGAATAAGCCGTATGCTTATGCAATTAAGTGAATCTTCGAAGCTGAAATAGTCCCCCTTTTAGGGTGCTTTATTGGGAAGCGTGGCCTTCGGGCGGATTTCGCTAAGTTTAAGGCCATTGTAGACAGGCCGGTTTAACGAAGAAAAAGGTCTCGCGCAAGTGGATTGGCCTCGCCAGCTGCTTGCCCAGATATAGCGCAAATTATGCGGAAATGGCACGGCCATTGCTAAATCTCCTTAAGAAGGATACGGAATGGTGTTGTGACACCGAGTACCGCGGGGCTTTTTACAGGTTCAAAGACAACCTCCTATGCACCAATACTGGCGTTGAACCCAATCGTCCTTTTAATGTCGTCTGTTCGGACTTTGCCATCGGCTGTGCACTTCTGTAAGCAAACGATGGGGGCAAGATCGGGTGATCGCGTTTGAACCTCGCCAGCTGAAGGCTGCGGAGTAGAACTACCCAGTCCACGACAAGGAATTACCTGCGATGAAGTATGCACTTGTTAAGTTCAGAGTGCACCTGCTTGGCTCAAAGCCATCATGCGTCATTACGCACTGCGACTCAGTCGCCTCGCCTCTCGCAGAGGATGTCTAGGTGGCTATTCTTCTTTGCGGAATATAATTTCGAGGCGAATTATAAGCTGGGAAAGCAGAATGCTCTGGCTGATGCGTTGTCACGCAGACCAGACTATGAGCTTGTTCATGCTACAACTGTAACGTCGTCTGTGACGGATTTGATCCGCGCCGCGTATGCGGGTGATGGGATGTGTGTAGCATTGCTTCGAACTCTAGGGAGCAAGGAGTTTGGAGCCTCGGACAAGAAATTGTCAGCAAGACTTCGTGCACGATTGCACCGATATTCGTTGGATAACGGCTTGCTATATTATAGCACCGATTCAACAGATACACCACGAATTGTGGCTCCTCATGATGAGGATTTGAAATATCGCATCCTCTATGAGGCTCACGATACGCCACTCAATAGGCACCTCGGTCGTGAGAAAACATACAACTCTGTGAGTTATCACCATTGGTGTACAAATGGACGAGCACCAATGTGCGCGTGTGAGGCGTGTCAACGGGTGAAACCCTCTCCAAATGCGGCCGCGTCGCTGGCCAGATTACCGGTACCCACTGTGTGCTGGCAGGCCATGAGTTCAAACTTTGTGTTTGGCCTGCCGAAATTTTCGGCGGGCAACACGGATGTCGTGGAATTCGTCGACCGGTGGAGCAAGATGGCTCATTTGGTGGTGGTGTTAGACACCATCGACGAGGTCAGTAAACAACGCTATTCGTGGATCGTGTTTTCCGACAACACAGACTCCCAGAGTCGATTGTCTCTGATCGAGACCCCCGTTCCACTAGAAAATTAGGGTCGACTATTTTTAAGGTGCTAGGCACCAAGTTGGATATGTCGACAGCGGATCATCCGCAGACCGATG